CTTGGATCAAATAACAGGAAAGGAGTGACTCAGATGAAGTGTATTACGTAAACTGAACAATCCTTCCACAGATAACAGGCCCCCCCCCCCCCCCCCCCCCCGGCTCAAAACATGAGTACCCCCCACATACCTCCCAGTAGTGCAGCCCGGCGCGGAACCCCCGGCTCCCGAGAACCATTCCCCTGTTCCCGGAAACGGTGCACGCGGCGGTCCCGAGGTCTGACGACAGGCTGACTCCTCCGGTCATCCGCGCGCGGTCGAAGAGGAACAGGCACCGCGCGCTCGCCGCAAAGTTGCCGGTGACCTCGACGTCTACGAGTCGGCCGGCGGCCTTAAGAGTCTCGCGCCGCTCGACCTCGCGCCGCTCCCGGAGGCGCGCCTTCCGGCGCTTGTCGAGGATGCTCTCGCGACGGACGGCCTCGGCGGTCAGGGCTTCCTCCGCTTCGGACACCTGCTTGCAAGGGGGCGTGTTTGAGCAGAAAAATTAGTTGTAGGATGTCACTGAGATGCCCGTGCTTTTACAATATGCGTTGGGAGGGAAACAGTTTGGGAGACCATACGTCGTTGCATTCCTCACCGGGGCACAGGCTGGACGCTTTACACGTGCCCAGCAAAAGAAACCTCAACGTACACACTCAGCACAGACCTGAAATGCTTTTAACCCTCCAGACAAATTGCCTGCCGCAAAGAGCTATACTCCTTTATAGCAGGAGCAGCACGGCAAAACAATCGCCAGCTCTGTTTGGCGACTGCGCCCAAAGCCTACGATAACCCCAACTCATGAGAAATCAAGAGTGAAATGACTCCCTGCTTCACCCCAAGTCAGCGCTATCTAGGTGACAAAAGTTCAAAAGTCTCTTGCTACACACCATAACCCGGCGTTACCCAGGTGACAAACGACCAAACATCCTTCCGGTACGCTACAACCCAGCGCTACCACTGCTGCATGCGGGTGAGAGAGTCGAAGGCACCAAACCTCACCTCTCGCCGGACGATGTGGTCCTTCTCCGAGATCCACCCCACATTCTCGGGAGGGTCCACCACGCGGAGACGCATCGTGCCGTCCGGCAGCCGCAGCCGCTCGGCGACGCTCACCATGGTCCCCTTCTTGCAGCCCCCGCCCTTCGCCTCCCTGCCGCTGATGCTGGCCGTCTCTCTCACCATCGCGCCCCCCATGCAGATGACCTGGTACCGGATGGGCTCCCTGGGCTTGTGGTGCAGCAGCTCGACGACGAGCTCGTTCTCTCCGCCCCGTAGCCACTCGCTTATCCAGCCCCTCCGGGTCTTGAAGCGGGGGATCCCGCACGAGCATATAACCCGGGCGGTGGCAACGACCGTGCTCCCGAAGGGCAGGTTGCCGACGACCGCGGCCAGGTCGATCTCCACCCCGTCGCGCATGGTCGCGCCCTTGCTGTACACGACCTTGAGCAGGTACTCCCCGGGGACGATGTCGGGGTGCTTGTCCCCGCCTACCTTGGTTCCCGATGCCGCTGCCGCCGCCGCCGCCGCCTTGGCAGTTGCCGCTGCCACCGCCTTGGCTGAGCCGCCCTCGCGCCTGAGGCCGCCGGTTGGCGGCAAGACCTTGGAGACGTCGCCCGAGACCTCGCCGCCCTTTTCCTCCGCCTGAGAGGTCTCCTCCTTGGACTCGCCCCTGCTGACGATAAGGTACTCGTGGTTCTCCTCTTCGCCCTCGTCGTCCTCGATGACGACAAGGTTGCCTCGACCGCCGCCGGCGCCCCCTCCTTCCTTCCCTTCCCCGTCCCGACGGTCGCGGGCCCCCATGGCCTCCATGGCTTCGGCCCTCTCCTCCAGCCGCGCCATCATGTCGCGAACCTCCCCGGCAGACTCCACCACCGCTAGCCTTGCGTCTTCATCTTCCTCTTCCTCCTCGTCCTCGTCCTCCTCCTCGTCTTCCTCCTCGTCTTCCTCCTCCTCCTCGTCCTCCTCCTCCTCCTCCTCCTCCTCCTCTTCCTCCGAGTCCCCGCCGTCAGTCGCCGCGACCGCCCTCGGCCCGGCGCTCAGCCCCACCCTGTGCGGGTCACCCGCGGTCAGGGCCTGGAGGATCTGCAGGGCTTCGGCGCTGCTGCCCAGGATGCCGCTGGCGCCGCCGACGCTCCTCGTCTGGCGAACGGCTTCTTGCAGCAGCAGGAGTTGCTCTTGCTCCTCCGCCTTACATGGGTGGGGGGTTCGGGGAGGGGGTGTTGATGGGGGTGGATCAGGTGCTGCATGTGTTTCGTCCCTATTTAGTGGGAACGCAAGGCCTGGTGAGGCACGGAGGGGGGAGATTACGGGCTATCCTAACACACGCCAACCTCATGGGTGTCTCAAACCCTCATCGTCAAAGACAGACAGAGGGACGACCCAGTAGTGATACGTGGCCGCCTACCTCAGTACACCGAGCGTCGCGATGTTGTGAGCATGCTGTCACCACAGTCCAAACCCTTCGGCAATGCCAACGCTAGCAAAAAATCAGGAGAACCCGGCCATCACCAAAACCAAGCACGGGGACACCGGAACACTCCCCCCCGCCGCCCCCCCCCCCTCTTCGAACACACCGGGACTTGACAACAACGCAAACCAACGCACGATTCCTGCTACGATGCTGTTGCCCTCCTCTTCCTTGCGTACATGTCCACCCTGCGTCTGACTCGTTCGGTAAGCCAAATCATGTGGCAACGCATTCCCCCGAGGCACGACCGGCAACGCAACGACCCGAACAACTCGACACCCACTACCCGACCCATTCGGGAGGCAGCAGTAGATCAACGAAACGCTTGCCGAACTGCCTTACCTCCTGCTGCTGCATCTGCTGGAACTCGTTCCGACGGTACTTCTTGCGCCGGCTGCTCATTCTCCCCGCGTGCTTCGACCTTCGACCACCGCCGCCGTGAGATCCCTTTCCGTCGCCGCCCTTTCCGTCGGACCCGCCGGGCCCGCCCCCGCCGCCGTCGCCGCTGCCGCCGGACTTCTTGCTGGCACTCTCGCGGGCCTGCCGCTCCGCCCGTCTGATCACCATGAGCGCTCGCCACTCCTGCAGGGGGACCTTCGCCTCATCCTTCGTCGCTTCCCGGATCTACAAATATTTTTTGACACACCATCCCAAAAGGGTAAGCGTGGATATGGGATTTGTAAGTATAGTTGGGGTCCCCGAATAAGGCTGTGGTGGGGAAGCTGAGAATGACCGACTTATATATGGGGCAGCCGCTTACTCCATGTGCGTAGAAACAACTTGAATATTCCGTCTTTGCCAGCTAATTTCACCCGCCTCATGTGGGGGACTTCCACTGCCGCACACAAATGACACGCGCTGTGCTCCCACCGAGGCGTGGGGTCTCGGCCTGCTCTTGCCTTGACTGCGACACGACGACCTTCGTACGCTCGGCTACTTGATTGTCAAAACGGCCACCACGTGATCGCGGAGGTCTTCCGACAGAATTTTCTCTATAACCTACCTACGCTCCCGTTCCTTTCCTCAAAATCGAAAAAATACACACACACAGCGTCGGCTCTTCGCAAACAACACCCCTGTGAGCATCGTGAGGCGTGAATGACGGTCCTCGACAAACGCGGCGGATATGAACGATAACAGAAGAAACCAATAAAGACACACCTTGACCCCGCGGTCGAACAGCCAAGCGGTCGGGCTCCCGTCTTCCTCCGCCTGACCCTTCTTCGAAGGCAGCCCTACCAGGAGGTGAACCCCGTGCTGCAACCCTTGGAACCACTTCCCCCTCCAGTACCCGCCCTTGCCGCTCAGCCTCAGCACGCCCGGCCCGTGCTTGAGTCCGTTGACGAACTCCCCGTGGAAGTACGTCGGGTAGAACGGCGGGGTCGGCAGCGCCGTCGACACCGCCGCCGCTGGCGGAGGCGACGGCGGAGGTGGCGGCGGCGGTGGCGGCGACGCCGACGCAGCAGCAGCGTCAGCAGACGCGCCGCTGTTGGACGAAGCTCCTTCCGCCGCTGCCGTACCGTCCGCAGCAGTCTCCCCGGAGGAACCCTCGCCCGCCTCGGCGCCCGGCAATGGCTCGGCCGCGGCGGCGGCGGCGGCGGCGGCGGCCGGGTCTTCCGCGGTGCCGGACGGCGACGAAGATGGTTCTTCAGGGCTCGGCCCGGCATCAGCCGCCGCCCGCGCGGCGGCGTGCGGCACTC